CACATTTGAGGAATATATTGAGAAGATTCCAACTATCGAATTATAAAAACTTTCAGAATTCCAGTATTCATGACACATAGACATGCTAATATACTTCCAGATTTATTGAGGCTGACTTTTCTTCTTGTTTGATTTTATTTCTTCTGATTTAGTAGTTTGATTTCTTCGTTTAAATAGCAGTGCTCGGTATATTCCTCAATATTTTTTTATCTTATTTCTGATTAGTAAATAAATTAGTACTCACGCGATAATTATAATATTTGTGTTTCGCGTACGAGTTAGAACAGAAATTAAGAGAGTTCTGGGCTCCTAGTGGATCAGAGCACTACGACCATAGTAGACCTTTTATACTGAAGTTTTAGTCTAGTAATCCTTTGTGAAATTCTTTTCATTCTATTTTAACAATTTTTACCATTTTTTTTTTACTTTCTTTACAAATATAATTGCTCAAATAAATATACTAGAGTATCGTAAAGCATTTAATAGGTCTTATATCTCATCTGTAAAGTATGTATAATTTATTTTTTCACATCTTTTCAAATTAGATCATACCGTCTTCTTCAACGTAAATGTGCCAAACTTTTGTTATTTACTTTCTTGATTTCAAGCAATTCGTCAGCTAGAATGTCTAGAATGTCTACTGTTATAATTTGCTATGTGCTGATAACAATGGCATTTTGTCATTCGTTAAATAATTAAATCGTTAAGTTAAGATTCGTCAAATTGTGACGTTTGCCATATAATATATTATTATTTATATTTATTAGATATTTTATCTCTATGGAGTATATTTCGTTATTTACAACTTTTTATGGTTTGAATTACTTGTCGCTCTGATATTAAGTTCCAAATCAGGCACAAGCTATTAATTTTCATTAATTATGCTTGAATTAATTAATTATTATTATAATTAAATAATGATTATTTTTATTATTCTCAATTTTGCGTTCATTTCAAAATACGATTAATTTCGTTTAAATCAATATAATCGTTTGCTGAATTTTCCAATCAGATCAAATGAACCCAGCAATCATTTGCTTGTTTGTTAACTTGACTTTTTATAGACTTTTTACGGTACCTAGATTACGTCTTCTTGATTATGTCTTGAGTGCTCATAATGCAATAACAATATCTTCGTACATACTTATTTATAATTTTTATTAATGAAATTACTTTACTTCCACGTAAAACCTGATAAAAGTTTCTCTTCATATAAAATGAGAAATTATGAGTAAACACGAAGTGACGTACAATTCTGTGCCCACACAGGGACGTAGTTAAAGAAATATTTCCGAAAAACTTCTCATTCAACTGGAATAGAATTTATGGCTATTTTTTTTTATAAGAAAAAATTTAATAAAAATTAATAGTTGACAAAAAATTCCTACTTATCAAAATAGTTAGGACTTGCAATATTTTTTAAGCGTTTTTCGTATTAAGTCCATTTAAAGGACATTGAATATTCAAAAAGTTTATAGGTAAAAGAAGAAAAATCAATTAATTATTCATTCAATGTTATACCAATAATACTATTACCAACCACCAACAATACTTAGAAGTCAAATATTTCTACAATGGTTGTTTGTGTTAACAGTAACTCGATACATATCCTCCCTAGTGTCCTGATCAAATTTTTACTTCTTCTTAGACTGCACTTCTAAAAGTCTTGAGCCTAATTAAGGTTCAGAATTTTACCAAATCCATGGAGTTTATCATTATTTTAACATATCAGAAATATTTTTTTATGTTTTTTTTCGCGCTTTACGCCCCCTTACATATCATGTAACATAATTGAGACATGATTATCAACATCTTTATCATATATACTTCTATATCTCCAATCAATAAGAAACAATTTCTTCCAGCTGGTAATTTTAGTTTGACTAACAAATAAAAATGGATACATAGAGCCAGGTCATGTTAGTGTTGTTCTTTGTCAATCACAGAACGATGTTTTCGTGCCACCGCAGAACACTCAAAAGTATAATTGTGAAACCTATTGATATAAGCAGATCAAGTAAAACAGATCAAGCACGAATTTTGCATTATAATACAATTCAATACTATTAACACACAGTAAAAAATGTTTGTAGCGATATACATATATATATATATTACAAAAGAATGGCTTTATGCAATCGCAGAACACTCAAAAGTATAATTGTATAAACTATTCATAGAAACAGATCAAGTAAAACAGATCGCTTTCGAATTTTGCATTATATAGTGTACAATTTTGCTAACAACACATAGAGAAAGAGGTTTATAGTGAGATACGTATATACAATTATTTACCTATAATTCATTAAATTGGGGAAAAAATTAAAAAATAACATATATTTCTGTTAAAAGAAACTGTATTCATAAAATTAATATTTATTTCTTTTCCATTTTCGACTATTGCAGCTCCTGTTTTTTTCAATTTATATTGAATATATCAATTTATATTGAACTCTATCTTGAGAATAAGAAACGATGTGGTTTCATGTGTAATTTGCATTCTTCAATTCGCATTTCAATCTTGTTCTCCAAATCATAGAATATTGCGGGTTCAATCTTAGTGCCTGTCGAGCAATATTGCTATTAAGTTTTCCAGAAGTACATACTCTTCAGCTCTACTTGCGTTTCTGAATTCTTTCTGTTACTTTGGTTTAATCTATCTGAGTCTAAAGATGGATATTGATTTATATAACTCTATATTTTGAAATGGATTGTATTAGTACTTTTATATGTTTCATATTCATAAGATAGTACTACATATCGGTTTGGAATATACGATATAGGATAAGTTGAATAAAAGCATACCTATTTATCCTTTGTGTTGTCCAAGTATGACAGTGAGTAAATAACAACTACACTAAATGGAAACAATTAGCTATTACTATTATTGATATAGTTTTCGACTGGTGTAGTGGCTGTTGTTATTTCTATCTTTTTATTGTTGTTGTAATATATGAGTGCAATTTATGAAAGTAGGTAAATGACTACTCACTGTTTTTGTTGCTGTCATTATTATTTTCTTAGTTGTGATTGTTATATATATATTTTTATAGGCGCAAAGAGGTATTAAGTTATCTTAAATGTAAATCTAGTCATTTCATTTCATTTAAATAATATTCAAACAAAAAAAAACAACAAAGACGCAACTTTGCTTTGTAGTGCTAAACTAATTAATTATTACTTAGTTCAGCTAAATATTTGATATGTTTGGTTAATTAAGTTGAAGGAATTTTAGAATCTTACCTAATCACTGTTTTTACTGCTTGACAACCGTTGTTCTCTTTGGCTGCTACTCTCTGGTACAAAGAGTGTCTAGTGTCTTCCTTATAATTTGTTTTAACTGATATTGAGAATCCTTACTTCTAGATTGTTACTCTCCTGAATTGCTACAAAGATATGACTTACTTAAGCATTTTACTATTATGTTGGTGACTTAAATATTTTTGTAAATGAGATTGAGAATATTTTCTCTAAGGTTGATACACTCTGGTACAAGGAGTTGACTTACTCTGGTACAAGGAGTAAATTAGAATAATTTATTCTATTTTACTCATATGTTAGTATCTTTCTTAACTTTTGTTTTAACTGTTATTGAGAATTTTTGCTCCTAGACTGCAACTCTCTCATACAAAGAGATGACTTAACATACCTAAGTATAATATTTGAGGTTGTATTCTTTTGTTGGTCTCTTAATTGTTGTTGTAAATGATATTTAGAATATGTTCTCTAAAGAGGTATCAGCTCTGGTACTAAGAGATGAGTTACTTAAGAATAATATGTTAGATTTTATCTTTGTGTTAGTGTCTTCTTTAATTGTGTTGTAAATTACATTCAGGATCTTTGGCCCTTGGATGCTACTCTCTTGTACAAGGTACGTAAGACGAATAAGTTTAGAACAATATGTTATATTTTACCCAAGTAAATCAGTACCTACGCCTCTGTGCTGTCGGCTTATTTGCCAAAATTTGTTCCAAGCGTATTAAATAGCTATCAGTAATGTCATTTGACGTCTTCTTACACTTTTTTTTTATAAACGAACGAGCATGTAATCGTATTAAGACAAATGAGTACGAATATAACTCATTTAGCCTTAGCCAATGTGGATGGTTAAACCTAAATGTATTTTGCTATATCTTAATTTTTTGACACGAACCTTGATTTGCCACTCAGCCAGCAGTAGAACAACGATTATAACGGACCCGAAGCAACGAATAATTTGATTATTTTGATGTTGATAATTGTCATTTAAACCGATTTATTATCAGATAAATATTTGTATCATAATGTCTGCATGTTAATTAATGAATGAATGAATAATGAACGGGTATTTCGGTTCACACCTAATCAGCATTTTGGACGCAAAAATCTCTAACAATACAACAAAATGAAACGTTTCTGCCAACTCTATTTGTATTCCATTGTTCTGCCTCAAGTAGGCAACATAAAGGGTGCTACGTTATTCTAAAAAAAAGAGTCTATTTATTTAGAATTAATTTATTGAAATGTACAGTGCTTATAAGAAAATCGCAACTCGAAAAATTAACGAGTATGTGACAATTTTAATAGTTTTCCATTAATTGACGAAATTTTTAATTCGAAGTTTTGTTTAAATTAATAATTATAAAATATACAAAATTTATTTTAAATGAGACACAAATAAAATATACAAAATTATATTTGAAAAAAATTTTAAAAAATTATTGAAGACATACATAATTAAATAAATAATTGAAAATATTAAATTATTTTTAAAGTGTGAAGTGAAATTGAAATACTTTTAACAGTGCTTATTATAAAATAAAATAAAATAAATTCAATTGAAATTTTTTTAGTATTATTAAAAAAAAAGACCTTTAATTGCAATTATTATTAAAAAGATTAAAAATTTCCGATACTCTTAAATATCATTAAAACAAAAAAAAAATTAAATAAAATAATGCTTATAATAATTAACGTAAAAATAATAATAACAAAAATTTTTTTTTTTATTTAATTTGCAGTGAAGTGACAGAAGGTGCCCTACAAGTATGGCGTGCCCTGCCGGAACGCATACGACAGGACCCGAGCTTAGCGTCATTTCGCCAAGAGCACGAACGTCTTCATGGAGGTAAGTACACGTACTACTAAAATTGTGAAAAATCATTTAAATGAAATTTGTGCCTAAAAAAATGTAAGACAGTGAAAATTTTGCACCATTTTATGCAACCAAATTTTTTTTACCATTTTTTGGTACAACTTGAAACTTTTTAGTTGTTGTTGTGGTGGCCCACAGAGATTAGCTTATGAAATTCTTTTAAGTTAAGGTGGTGAACGGTATTTGCACATCGTAGTTGATGAATGACTGCAGGACATAGACCTAACCTTTCTTAAAACCTTTTTGAAACTTTTTAGTCGAGCATTGCACTGGTAACAACAAAAATTGGTTAAAAATTGATATGAAATATCTGCTCAGGAGAGTTTTAATTGCATATAGTATGATTATGTCAACCACAATAAGATTTTTGTTTTGACTATAAATATCCATTAGGACTTAGAATAAGGCTTGTCGTCAAATTTCGTTTTAAGTATTTTAATCAGCTTGATTTGAAAATAATAAAAAAAAACCCGGTCTTCGTAGAAGGGGTCTTCGAAATGGACATAAATAGTAATTCGCTGCGTCAGTTTTGGATTTGTAGATCCATTTCTATTTACCCTTTTTCATTTGAACTTCTACACATTATTATTATTGGTAAGGGATGTGGCAATGCGATCGTCGGGTCTATTGTGCCCCTTGCAACTTCTAACTTTTTATAAAAACTGTTGTTAATATTATGCCTATTTTGTGTTCATAATCATAATTCTCTTTTGCAGGTGATATATTAAATTTATATTTTAAAAGCCAATAGAATTTTATAGCTCGATTCTTTATTCTTTAAATAAAATTTTTATCAAATTGCAATTTTATGTTATTTTTATAGGGTAGGACACTAAAAAATTTAGATAATAATTTATTTTCTTCATAATTTAAATTTTAGTTGTGCTTTTCGTTTCTTTTATGATTGATATTAATAAAATTTTATTTCGGATTACGTCCCAAATATTTCTAACAAAATACACTAGATTTATTTATATCAATATATTAATACATAATATATTAATACTTTTTAAAAAGTTTAAGTGTTATAATGGTGAATAAAAATTTACAACATTTTTAGAACTTAGTTCGAAAATACTATCTAAAGTGCTCAACGCTTTAGAATAGAACTGAAGTCAGTCAGCACATTCTATTTGAAAGTTAAAAAATATAAAATATGTCGAATTGTTTTTGACTTGATGTGGATTACTTTCACATTGACCTCATAGAAAGTCAGACTCCATATGTCTAATAAAGGGGACTTGAATCGATTAAGATTTTTCGCTCTTAAATGACATTTACTATACATACGTTTTTTGCTGTGCAGTAATAAATTAATAATATATTACTCACAAAAATATAAATTACTTTCAATAATGTTTTTCGAAAATCTTGGGTCTTCTAGATTATGGACTATATTTACAAAAATTGTGAATAATAAGTAAAATTCTGAATAGGTTTTGAAATTGATATTGTAGCTATTATATAGCACAGTTAGATGCTTCGTTGTGTAAAAGCCTGCTTGGTTGGTCTTCTGTACAAATAGTTGGAATTAGAATTAGAGTTGTGATCAGCATCTGACCATCGATAACAAGTATATGTAGTTATTTTTGCCACTCAAACGAGTATATTATTTATTGATCACGACATCTGCGTAAGAAAAGAGTCTTTAGTGATTTTATAAACTATATACAATTATTCAACTAAGCAAAATAAAGCCCATTTAATATAGTTTGTTTATCTATTTCTAAAATAATTAACTTCTATACAAAGAGGAAATCTTATTAGCTAAGTAAACGAAACGCGAATCATATGGTATCAATCGGCTTTATTTAACACTAATTACTATTTTAGGTAAGTGATTAAAAGCTATCTCGCACAGATCTGGGATTATCTTCGTAACATATCTTGGAACAACTGAAATTGGTCGACCTCTCGTGTATCGTACAAGAGTTTTTGTCTTTCCAGTACTTTCAGTGTATTAATAATTTAAGATATAGACATCTTAATATCTTTCAAAGCCACTATTTTAGATTTTTTGGAACCACGCAACTTTTTTTCGCACCCTACATTTTTCACTCCCTTAATAGTTTTTTATTTAAAACTTTATGGGTTTCTACCATATATGGTTTTGAAATTCAACTCTTGTGATTCTAGAAATATCTTATTCATATATCTTAAAATAACCGAAATTGATTAAAAACATTGTACGCGGATCTTTATTTCTTGGAACTGTCATAATAATAATAATCTAAGATAGAGACACCTTTCAAAACGACTACTTAGAGTTTTTTGGACGAGGCTACATTTTTTGGACACTACATTTTTCCCTCCCTTAATAGTAATTCATTTAAAACTTAATGAATTTGTATATGGTTTTAAAATTTTTTCATATCGTTCTAGATATATTTTCTTTACATTGCTCGAAATAATCGAAGTTGATTAAAAATATCGTACATGCGTTTTATTTATTTTAGGATTGCCATAATAGTAATAATAATTTAATGTAGAATTATCTAAATACCTTTTATGTCACTCTCCAGATTTTTATTATACGACAAAATCCTGTTATAAAATTTAGCTATGAATTTATTTTTGATGAGAGGTCCCTCCAGTTCTAAAGTACTTCTTCAATTATTTGACGAAGATTAATTAGTTCATCAGTTAAAGAATGTTGAATGTCAAACAATAATTTTGAAATCGATAGATAATATAAACTTGATGGCATTTTGAAGAAACTGATTAGTCAACAATACATACATATCTTATTTAGATATATCATATATATTGATCATACATTATATATTACTTGTATCTCCAAGATTTTTTTCTGCTTGTTAGATATTAAATTATTTTTAATATCAACATATCAAATAAATCTATTTTAGTATTGTTAATTTTTTTTTGCTATTTTAAAGTTAGAAGTATCCGAATAGCAAAGAAAAGACAAGAACAAAAATTTAGTTAATTTATTATAGCAAAATTTCAATAAATTAATTAAATTTTTGTTCTTGTCTTTTCTTTGCTATTCGACTCTTTCTATATTTTATTATTATTATTAATTTAAAATAAAAAGTACATGTACAACTTTCTAATATACTTTCAAAAAAAACCCGAAATGATAGATTGTTTTTTATTGAAGTGTAACTGTTAAATCGTATGTATGGCGTGTCAAATTCTTTAAATTTCACAACGATTATATTCTTTATAAATATAATATACTCAGATATTGGCTGATAGGAGCTCTTCAAGTCGAACACTCCAAATGTTGCGCTCAATATCTGGTACGACATCAGAGTTGAGTGCTCAAAACAAAGTGCAATAAATGGCAAATCAATAAAACAAACATTTGCACACCTCCAATTAGGAGCGATAAGTCGGTGACATATCGTGCGATAAAGTCAATTCTGAACATTTTATAAGATTAATGAAATTAATTAGATTCGCATTAATAATGATTTAATATACGTACGAAATGATTTGATGTGTATTATTTACAATTTAAATAACATTTAAAAATTATAGTTATTACGTATTTTGGTAAATGAGATAAATTCCACTGCGGTTTGATATGATATCAATTTTTTTTAAAGTAGTGATTGTCCAACAAAATAATATTAGTTTTAAGTTTTTATTCTTGATTATAATAACATCTATACAAAGTATAATGACGTGGATAGAACTATAGATATAGAAACATTAAAAATTTTTAATATACATATTTTTTTCTATTCTTTTGTTTTTTGTGCAGAACTCTGAACTCCTTTCCATCCCTTTTTTTAGAATATATAGATAGACTTTAAAAATAGTTTAATGGGGTTTTATATTGGGGCTGTCAATCACATAAATTTCGGATGTTGTTCAGTACAGCGGTTTTTTTCAGTGGTTCTTAACAGTGGTTATTTACAGTAGTTCAGTACAGTGTTTTAGTACAGTGGTTCAGTATAGTGGTTCAGTATAGTGGTTCAGTACAGTAGTTCAGTACAGTAGTTCAGTATTCAGTACAGTGGTTCAGTACAGTGGTTCAGTACAGTAGTTCAGTACAGTGGTTCAGTATAGTATAAACCATTCCAACCATAACCGAGATTGTTTCCATTTTTAGCAGAAAATATATTCCAAAAATTTTTTAAATCTATTTTATTTAAACTTTTTCTTAACTTTAGAACTATTCCATCACGTTATGTGAAAAAAAAATTCACTTAAGAAATTGGATGAAAAAAATGGATGGAGCTAGAACAGTTTTGATCAGACGTCTAAAAGTACACTATTTTGGATTCATTAATCAATATTTTTTCATGAAACTAAAATATAATTATTACAATGTTTTCTCTTAAAATCTGCAAAGGCCTCCTTAAATGAAACGGCAAGTCTGAGCCTTTTAAATAAGACTCGGTGAAAACTTCATTTTTCTAGACAATGCTATTTCTTCTGACCATTCTTTTAACGACTGCAAGTTAATAAAAATTCGTGGCTGTCAGATGTGAAACATTTTTTGGGTGAGACAAAAATTGGAAGTGCATTTCTTGTATAGTTTACTAGTTATTTGTTTTCAGTGGAATGTCAGTGTAATCATTTTACATTATTCAGTCTTTGGACTTGGCACCTATCTTTAAATTAACCCAATGTAAAATAATTTTATCCATTTTTCAATTTAAGACTAAGTATGTCAGTGTCATTTTCTAGTACTTCTAGTACTAATATCCAATATTAATAATTTACTAACATAAATTTATCACTTTTAATCTTAATGATGATCTATACTCCGAAGAGAATTCTTTATATCTTCTTCTACTATTTATATATATTATTTTATTTACTAAATCATATTTATTCAGTTTGACTGTGATCTCAATAATTTCATTTCCCATGCAATATAGTCTATAGTTGTATTTACACAATTTCTATAATATATATCTGTTGATATAGTTTTTTTATACTTCTAAACAAAAATCATAATATATGTATATATATATGGTTTTATAAACTGATGTTTGTAGTACATTTGCTTCCTTCTCGTATAATTAAATCCATTTTTGCAGTTATATTTTTTTGTAGACATTCTATCACCATATCTTCAAGTACCGATATGATCAAACTTTAATCACGATTCAATCCATCCTTAAATCTCTTTGTACTAAGTATCCCAAAATGAAATAGTTAATCTACATTAATAAATTAGAAATTAATTTAGTTTAAAGAATGATACCTATATTGTCCTTAAAGCTGTTATCAATAAATCAGTATGTTCTACTAGTTTTGTTTAATATCTTGTCCTAAAAATAATTACTATGAACATTTTTATATAATTTATCTGTTCATTTATCCTTCAGATCCTAAAATATAGCAAGAATTATATTAATAATTATACGTATTATTTTTATAGGTTACGAACCACCAGATGTGGATCCACTACCCTCAGAAGATGTTGATGAGAATGAAGAAAAGGGAAAGAACTCAAACGTATTTTCACAAATTGGCATAAATGTAACCAACGAAATGGGGCAAGTACGAATATTGAATGGAAGGTAAGCAAAGCTCCAGAACAAATGAATACTTAATATATAATATTACATAATAGTATTAAAAAAATAATGTTCTATTTTAAAATTATTAATATTAAATATTTAATTATTTAAAAATAATTTTATTAAATATTATACTATTATATTTAATGATGAATTAAATATAAAATTAATAGTTCATTATCAAACTAAATATTTTATCATAAACTTATTAAATATTATAATTATTAATTAATTAATAAATAGTAATAAAATTATTCAATTATTTATTATTTATAATAACTTTCTTAAATATTACTGATATAATACTTATTAATTGTATAATAAATAATAATAAAATTATTCACTTATGTATGTATAATAAACTTATTAAATATTGTAGATATCATATATATTTATTGAATAATATATAACAATAAAATTATTAACTTATATATATAAATGTACTGTTAATTTTATACTTACTAATGTGCCATTTTTTATAGAGATGTGGAGAACAATGCCGAAGATCAACCTGATGATACGGATGGCCATTCAAGCAAGGTAAACATTAACTTCCTTATTATATCAATTGTTTTTATAAAATCTTTTCTATATATAATATTTTATTAATGTGTTTTATTTAAAGGCAAAAAATTATTTAAAATGGCTTAAGATATCAATTCTATTAGTGGTCTGGTGCGTATTTACTGCATTCCTAATGTCAACCAACGAGCATGTCGACGAATTAAAGCTTATAACTGTACCCAAAAAAGGATCTGATAAAGGTACGTACAAAAATATATACAAGATAATATTCTATTTATTTAAATATTTTATATTTTATTCATATTTACATAGTTTTTCCCATCACAACATCAACATTAAATCGCCTTGGTTTAAAGCTGAAAGGATCATTTCGTTTGCAGGAAGTTGATACGGCCATTGATAAGTTAAACCCACCACAACTACGAGTACATATTGAACGTAGCTACTTCAATGCTAGTGGCTATGAGATACATCGTGAAAATGTCTCCAGCCTTTGGAAACTAGATATAGTGTATCCGAATGAACTTGATAGTACAAAAGAGACAAGTAAAGGTTTTATATATGAAATATTTCCGATAAATGAAGATTGGGCACAACAAAGCAATTTTTCGGAGCTTAATTTACACTTTATAACAACCATAGATTCCGAATTTCCATTGCAAATATCTCTAGATGAATCACCGATATATAAGAAGGAAGGTGTTATCTATGCAGCTTTGGTATTGTGTGGATTGTATGTTATGATCATTTGGGAAATTGTTAATCGTACATTTGCTGCAATAATTGCTTCAACACTGTCTGTGGGTATTTTGGCAGCACTGAATTCTAGACCATCTATGGCTACAATTATGGGTTGGATAGATGTGGAGACGTTGTTATTATTATTTGGAATGATGATTTTAGTTGCGATATTATCGGAAACCGGTATATTTGATTATTTGGCTGTGTATGCTTATAAGGTAATTATAATTTTAAAATAATATTCATTGAATAAGTTCTTGTGTCATTATTTTTATAATATATATAATTTCATCTACCTAAGTTTTGAAAAGAAAAAAAGGCTATGATAAGTTAGTTTAGTTAACAAAACTGACTTGGTCCTGGACGTAGAAACGTAACAGTATCCTAAGCAGTTTGTGTGAAACAGCTTATCTATATGAATAATTATACATTTATACATCTCTTTTAAATTGTTCTACTTTATATTTATACAGTTGTAGTTATTAAAATAATCTTTTAAACTATTAGTTTCTTAAATGTGTTTTTGATTTGTAATTATTTCGAGAGAGAGATTGCTACTATATCTTAATTTCAACTTAAGACTGCTAAGTACGTCATAACTTAGTTTGATAATCATAAATGGACATTATCAGTTCTTTAATCGTTCTGATAATTGGTTGATAATTTATAAATAAATTCAATTTGTTAAAATTTTTGATCAATCAGTCAAATTATTTTTCCGTTAATAAGTGCTATGACTTTTTTAATTACTTTAACATTATTTTTGTTGTTTTTTTTAGATAACGACTGGTCACGTTTGGCCACTTATAAACTGCTTATGTTTGTTTACTGCTATATTATCGTCTTTCTTGGATAATGTGACGACCGTACTACTTATGACGCCAGTAACTATACGCTTATGTGAAGTGATGTCACTGAATCCGGTACCGATATTAATGTGCATGGTCATCTATTCAAATATCGGTGGTGCTTTAACTCCGGTCGGTGATCCACCAAATGTTATAATTGCTTCAAATAACTATGTAAATAAAAATGTAAGTAAAAACAAGATAAACATATAATTTCACAGAATCTTTAAAACTCTTTGAAAAGATCGTAATCTATCTATATAATAGATAGATGGATTCATGTCGCAGTGCTTTTTGGTCTGTCATAATAATATCATCTATAAATTTAATTTATTTATTTCATGTGGACGTTACATGTTAGAGTCCAACTTATTTTACTTATAAAAAATTTAATTGATCTTATCATTCTCTTCCCAACTGATAGGGTGTCAATTTTGCCGTCTTCACACTACACATGTTGCCCGCCATCATATTGGTTATGTTGCAGAGTTATTTGCAATTACGTTTCAAATTTCGTCATATCAGCGATCTACAATTTAAGGACTCACCCGAAGTAGAAGAACTGCGACATGAGATACATGTATGGAAACGTGCTGCTGCTAGCTTATCTGCCTACTCGAAGGACGAGGACTTGGTGCGCGAGACATTAATGAAGAAAGTCAATCGTCTAAAGCGCAGTTTGAAGAAGCGCATGGCTGCCGCTATAGAACCTACCTCAAATTATGAACAAACTTTACAGAATCTTCAAGCAAAAGTAATTATTCCTTAAAAATGAAATTAAATTAAAAATAAATAATAATACTATAATAATTTTTTATTTCAGTATCCAATACGTAATAAGTCATTGTTAATAAAGTGCAGTGCTGCTTTGATTTTTGTTATCGGTTTGTTCTTTTTGCATTCCGTGCCAGAGTTACAACGTCTTTCATTGGGCTGGACCGCATTGTTAGGTGCCATATTTTTGATTATATTGGCTGATATTGAAGATATGGAAGCTATATTGGCACGTGTTGAATGGTCAACATTATTGTTCTTTGCTGCATTATTTATACTTATGGAAGCTCTATCAGAATTGGGTTTGATTGAATGGATTGGTAATATGACCGAAAATGTAATATTGGGCGTTAGTGAGGAATCACGTTTGATGGTTGCCATTTTAATTATATTATGGGTATGTGAAAATGAAGTTTATTATTAATATTAACATATATATGTTATTATTGTTATTATTTTTATTATTAAGAACCATTCCGATAGAAGTCTTAAATGACTAATAGGGACCCTACCTCGAAATAATGCTTACGTAGTCCAGAGGTAGGATAAGGTCTCTAGGAATGAGGAGGTGTTAATTATTATCATATAATTAATAAATAATATTAATTTCAATAGAAATTTGGATAAAATTATGTATTATATGAATTACTGTTTTTGATCTGATATATAAATGACGTGTCTTATAAAAATCTATATCTCCAATTCGAAGTAATAATTATCATACGAAATATCATAAAATATTATAGTAATTTCTGTGAAGATTTAAATGTTATATTATGTTATATTGATACAAACAATTTATTAAATATAATATATATAATTGTATATATAATAATATATTTATATATATGAACATGTTTTATTTTTTTATAGGTTTCAGCAATTGCTTCAGCTTTTGTAGACAATATACCTTTAACTACAATGATGGTAAAAATTACCATTTCTTTGGCTCAAAATAGCACATTGAATTTGCCTTTACAACCACTGGTATGGGCTTTAGCACTCGGTGCTTGCCTTGGCGGTATGATGATTTATATTTTTTTTATATTTTATTTAATTATTGAATATAATTTTATTAAATATAATTATTATTTTTATTTTCAGGCAATGGTACACTTATTGGCGCCTCTGCAAATGTAGTTTGTGCAGGTGTTGCTGAGCAACATGGTTACAAATTTACTTTCCTAGAATTTTTCAAGTAAGTTTACAGAACCTACAGACTTTCTGGTATTACCAATCATAAATTTTTATTGACAAACGTAACTATTTTCTAATCAAAGTGTTAATATATAATAAATATGTGCCATTTGAAGATATATCACCGACCATATTGACAATTTCATAGTTTTTTTTCTTCAAACAACGACAAATAGATTGTTGTTTGAGATTAAAATGTACAATATAGAATATAGAGTATATTTTTAATTTTATTTTTCAATTAGTCATTAAATTGTTTTCTTGCTCATAAGTTTGAAGGCCCGTTTCATTTATTTCACTTCAGCAAAAACACAATGAACTACACATTTTTTTCGAAAGATTTGTGATATCTAATCGATGCACTAAAATATGTTGTTTATTTAATTTAGTGATATGGATTAGATTAGTTTCTTGTGAATAAAAATATTCTATGAGAATTAAAGATTTGTTGGCTTTTTTTAAATATATAAAATGTAAAAAGACTTGTATATAGTCTTCAATAGTGTTAAAAAAATTCTGTATAGTTTTATGATAGAGTCTTCTTCGATATCACTAATTTATATACTGAATTTATGTGACATGTTTCCTTCTAATCTTTTAATTCAATTTATTTTTAACCATGTCATTTTGTTGTTGTAATGTGTTTTTAAAAGGAAGAATGATACTTCGCCATCTCAGAAGACGATATAACCTCATTCGCCGTCAAGACTGCATTCTCGTTTTAACGAGAATTTAAGAATTGTAGCACATATCGTTTTTCGAAACGATCAATGGGTGGTTTTTCGAAATCAACCTTTGCTGACTACTATGTGGTTCTAATTTCCCGAATATTCTTAAGCCTTAAGCTATTAAAATAAATATAAATAAATATTAAAAATATTTTAAAATTCTAATTGTTACTTCATTAAAATCTATATATCTTCAATGATGATTACTATATCATGCAAACACATACCTGCTTGTCGAGTCTCATTAGGGGATGTTGAACGATTCTTGGTCGTCGTTGACGGGCTCCGGGCTCCGAGACGTAGACCCGACCGTTCGTGGAACCCTTCTCCTTCATTACCCACTTAACTTTTATCCTATTTCCCTACGCATGTAATCGTCTTGCGTTTCCTTTCATGTTTATCTGCTTACAGGTCCCGGCGGGTTACAACAACAACAACAACGACTATATCCTTTAAAACATCAATTTATACTCTCATTGGTATAACCTTACATGTGTATTTTTCTAATGTTTTTATTTGAATATTTTGCATATTAAAATTATCTTATAACAAAGTAGTAATAACAAGATTAAAATGTATGTTTTAGTCGGCAGTTAAGATTAATGGGAAGTTCACTTTATTGTGACGTTGCCTCATCATGCAATCCTAGTAAAACCATTATTTCCCACAAAACCATCTCAAAAGTCTATCTATTTTGATACTCTATGTATTTTAAAAACAGATACCCCAAATATTTTTGTCTAACTCGAAAAAAAAAGAATTGTAGAGTGACAAAATATATATCCACAACTGTCCCCATCTCTAAGCTAATAAAAAATTCTAGACATTTCAAAGTATTCAGCTTCTAGTCTGACAACATATCTACCAATTAGTAAGGATTGTATTAAAAATTTAATTCAGTATAGTTAATAGATATAGACAGATAAAGAGAAGTAGTAGATTATAAATATATCGCTACTACAATGTTTTATAATGGTTTTAATATTCCTTTAATTTTACTTGGGTCATATATCTTGCGATCATATACACTTAGCAGAAAAAGTCTACGTTCACCTATAAAATTTTTTTTGAAATTTCGCATAACTTATTTAATTTTTACTCAAATTAGAAGAAGTTAAGGTGCCGATTTTTTTAACTACATAATATTATATATAAATAATAATAAAACATTTTTAGTATTTTTAATATTAATAAACTATTATTCTTTTTAATTACAGAGTTGGTTTTCCTGTCATGATTGGCAGCATCTTTGTATCAACAGCATATCTTATAATTTCTCATGTGGTCTTTTCGTGGCATTGATAAAAGTCCGAAGAATTGGTGTTCTCATTATAGGATGTTCAACCAATTCTTCACTGCACACAGATACCTCGTATACCGCAAAGGGAAGTTACTATGCACGAGCTTGCACACATCCAGAGACACATATATATATATATATTTTAATATAATTCGAATAGTATAAAATTAAATTAATTTATTATAATAAAATAATTAAATTATTTATAAAAACTAAGAAAACAAAGGAAATTAAAAAACAAATTATGTTTTTAATAAACTCTGGAACCAAATTGCAACTAAAACGAAGAATTTCATCAATAGGGAATTACTTAAATCTAGTTGAAATTAGTTTGAATTAAATAAAAATGTGAAGAAGTTATACATATTATAGAGAAAGAGGATATTTTTACACAAGTACTTTAGTCTGATTTGTGCGCAAAATTGAAATTGTGTATAATTGAATAAGGAGAAAATATTTATAAAATGTCTATTAGCAAAAAAAAAAAATCAAAATTTATTCAATTAAAATTGAGTAACAAAATTTAAAAAAAACTATTTATAAAATATTAAAAAATTTTATTAAAAATAAAAAAATAAACTCATGTAATCGTTTTAGTTATAATTTCGGTCTTTCATACATGTGAATTTTTTTTTATATTAAATAAGACAGCCATATATTATTTAAAAACCTGAAAAATATTAAATAAATAAATAAATTTGTACTAGAATTGTTATTATTATTATTATTTGTTATAGCAAAATATTAAGAGATGAGGTGTATGTAAAATAAAGAAATTTTTACTATATAAAAATAAAAACAAAATTATTGAAAAGTAACTAAATTATTATTATAAATGACAAAACAAAGAACACATTAAATCTGATTGATTCAATTATATTTACTTTAGTTTATTACTTTTGTTATAAAATTATTTTTAGGTAAAATGTCTATAGATTATTATATAAATATTATGTTATTTACACATATAATAAAACAAAATAAAAAATTCAAAAAAATATATATATTGTGCTTTGTCAGAACGAATTTTTTAAAAATGAAAAGGCCTATCTTATAGATATAATTAAACAGACTAACAATACTGTATGTAGTGTTGGAGAAAATAAAAATTAAGAAATACGTTTTCCACTCTGCTATAGCAAATGGTCTGCTATACTACCAAACACTCTATTCAGATGCTATATTAGATGCACTATCAGATACTATATCAGATGCTATATCAGATACATCACTGATATATCAGTTGGATCATAGACGTTTAATACATCTGCTATATCAGAAAGTTTTAAATATTATTTAAAAGCTAAGTTACTCAAATTCTATTAGGAACATAAGCTTCTTATACACCACCTTACTATGTTCAATATACGGATTTGCTAAACCACTATCGCTCTACTATCCAAACCCATATAAAAAAACCGAAAAGATACAAACAAATAAAAAGAATGGAAATATAATTATATTTTTTAACAACAATTTCCTTTATCAAATCTAAAATCAATGTTAATAAAATTTATTTACCCATTAAGGGTAAATATTTTTTCGGCTGAGGTCCAGACTATTTTCAGTTTTGTCGCCCTAGGTCTTATCTTTCATGATATTCTTGACTATTAGTTATTGACTATTATAACATACTATAGGTATACGAATGTACTACAAACTCATATACTCAACCGTTTACATTGATTCTATAAAATATTCTAGAGGTTCATGTGCACTTTATTAAGTTATGTCTATTTTGAAACATAAACTATTAATGGGCACTGAAGTCGACATATTTATAGACAAAAATGTTACAACAGTGAACAAAAATGATAACAGTAGTAATCGCAAATATTTATGTCATTTACAGTAAGTCTTTTGAAGCGGGAATAGAAATCAGCATCAAAAAACTAAAGTTATGGTCGGTGACTACCGTACCAACCCTACACCGAGTATTCCTTTAAATTTGAACCAACTGAACATCGAATATGTTAGCATCTTCAACTAACTTGGTATAATGATCACTACTAAGGATGCAGCTGATGAAAACATCTCGACTCACATAAATAAAGGTAAGGCTTCATTTCGCATGCTACGCTGTATCTGGAAATCTCGATATATCTCTGTAGAAACCAAACTACGCATCTATAACGTGAAACGTGGAAACCGTCATCGACACCGTCGTCGTAGATTCTCAACATCTTGTGGTCTAATCGTATTAGCAGTGCTGATCTTTGGGGTGTCATCAACTAAATGCCAACCACTGAAGAAGTATGTATGAGCAAATGGCGTTGTTTTCGTCATACCTTTCGCAGACCATTGCTGTCGATGATCGAGTGTCGTTCGACATCTCCTTATTAGTTTATAATAATTAATAAAAATAATAATTAATAAAAATAATAATTAATAAAAATAATATTTAATAAAAATAATAATTAATAAGAAAATATGTTTGACAGACTATTCAAAGTAGAGGTCTAGCCTAAACATATGGAACGGATTCATTATGTCATTTTCAGCTTTCAGGTTTTTTGAATTTTGAAAAATATGCTATGAAAAATATTAATTTTTTATATTTAACTTGAATTTATCAATCTATAGATTCGTTAAATAAATAAATAATAATAATAAAAATAATATGATATAGAAATGAGGATAAATAATAAACAAAAATCATATATGTATATTTTAAAAATTTCTGTTTTTAAAAATTAATAATTAATATTAGTTCTAATATATAAACAATTTTGACTGTATATTTTTTAAAAAATATTTAATCTATTGTCTTTACAAAGCACAAAGCTTTAAGTCTTTATCTTCCATAGAGCTTGAGATATGGCCATTTAAAAATATAATATATTCAAAAACCAGAAACTTATATCTCAAAGCAATTTTTAATTTAAAAGTTGAGTTCTTATTATTAAAAAGAAAAAAAAATAAATCTTTTATGAAAAATATACAGCTAAAAGAAAAAGTTATATATATCATATATAAACTTTTCGGATAGGTTCAAATTTATTAGGTTCCTTGGTCACTACCGTGTGGTTCAGAAACCAATTATTGAAATTATTGAATTTTTACTACATTGAAATTTCCCGAATGTTTAAGAAACTGCAACAAAACCGTTGAGCTGATAAAAAATACGACTGCCAATAAAAAAAGCTGATATTGAAGAAGCTTTTGTTGGATCGACCAGAGTTGCCAAGTCGACGGTTCTATTAATAGCAAGCACTTATGCGCATAAATGTATGCAATAAATGTTGCTAACAAACGTTTCTGTAGTCAACAAAAGAATACCGCTTCACAAACTCCATGCAGAACTATTTAAAAAAAAAACCATCTGTGAAACCTGAAACCTTTCTCTAGAAACAAATAATGAAAGAACAGCCCAGTCATTGAACAACTAAGATGCATTTGTTAGGAACTCCATTTCAGTAAATAAAGAAAAATTCGTGAGGTCAATAAATGCAGCACAACAATTTAAGTTTACCTAACCCAGAAAGAAAGGACAAAGATCGGGGTTCATGACGTAAGTATTAGAATTTGATAAAAACAAAAAAATTGTTATTTACTTGATCATATAAAAATATAAAATCTATTTCATTAGTCACTCCAATTATTGTTTATTGTTTTTGATGGACCAACAAATCAGGAAATTCTCCGAACTTCTTAATTAATACCTTTATTGAGGAAAGTATCACGTTAAATGGAGTTGGAATGTCGAAGACGAAATTACTTTCTCACGTGCGAATACAAACTGACTAAATTATATCTATATTTTAGTTAAGAAAGTATTACTAAACTCTATGGGTATTTCATTTTCGGTTGCGTCATTTGAAGTTGTTTTGATGTTTGAAAGGTGAAAAATATTGGTGTAAATTAAATAATTTAGCAAGATTTATAAATAAAGAACAAAATATATTACGAGTAGAGTCTTTTCGAAATGGATTTACCTTAAGTCGTAGAGATTTTTTTGAGAAAATTTTATAAAATCGCATTAAACACGTCAAATAATATAAGTCGTTCATATATTCTACAATTTGTGATGCAGGTATGGATCTTAAAAACAGATAACTACACAAATAATTTGCAATAAAAAATTTATTTCGTTTTTTGACGATATAGTATATAGTATAACGTATATACTATTGTTTGTTTGAAATTAAACAATTAAAAATAAAAATATAAATAATTAATTTCATTACTGTACAACTGGTTTATGATTTCGTTCTACTATAAACACAGCAAGTGAATTTGTTAATAAAACTTTCACAGCAAATTAAGAAAACTCCAGAAAAATGTGCGAACATAAAAGTCAAGTACGGCTTTGAGTCAGTTGGTTAAGGAGCGCTGACTTTGAGCTTCAAATTTATCAGGGCACGAGTTTGATTCCTTGCACTTGTAGTCTCAAAAAATTATTTACGAATAATTAAATACAAGAATTAATATATTTACCAGACCACTAACGATGCGTATATGGCCATACTCGAAACAGTTGTTTGATCAGCCAAAAATTAATTAATTAAAATAATATAAAATAAATTTTTGTTGTTGTAGTTTACTACTGTTCGTAAAAAAACAGCAGTAAAAAAGAAAAGAAAATCATGATTTTCAACGTAGTTAACCTATTAGATACCATTTTATAACTTCCAAATAAACTGGCAGACTCTGTATCTCTTTTTTTCTTTAAAACCCGTGTACGATAAGAGTCTATACATCTGCCCCTACTTTTTATTAGTTTTTACTTAATCACGTTTTAAAATTTTTTTTAATTATTAACATGATATTCAACTGCTCTCCATTTTATGTGTTATTTTAAAGAGACGTTTGATTATATACCATGACTTATAAGATCGCTGATAAACAATATTCATCGGTTCTAGTGGTCAGATTTTGTGTCAGTTTTAGATAATAAAAATCTGTAATCTTATATATTTTAAGTTCTTAAAGTAGTACATATTTTAAAAGTCGTTTATAGTTACTGGCACTGAGTCTTTTTTTGCCGACCTTTTTAATAAAAGATGCAAAGCCCCAACGATATGCAGGTATTTATAAGCAATTAAGCCATGCACCAATAAAAGAAAATCAAACTCTCTCATTGAAATGCCGCGTAAAGATATTAGTCTTTTAGTATATTTAACTACAGGTCCTTGTATTTAAGGTAGCCATGCTTGGAAACTAAATCTCGCTTTCAATTATACCTGCCACAGTT